GAACAATTCAGTGCCACCACCACAATAACTGCCCTAACGCGGAAATCGCGCTTCAGATTATGGAAGTTTTGAACTGTTTTAGCAACTTCTCCTGAACTTATAGCTGATATGTGAGACCATTTCGCATATACTGAAACAACATCGAAGAAACATTGTTCTAAATATAGCAAACGGTTAACAGGAGAAACGTCGCTAAAAACATATGACCTTTAAAAAAGTGTGAACAGATATGTTTGTCATCGCACTTTGAATCGTTTCAGTCTTTCACTGTTTCCTAATATCCAGTTAAGCATCTTTTTCAAAAAAGATGGTCATTATTACAACAAAGATACAGTCCAAGTCAGATTTTCATCTGACAGTCCAGCAACTGACCTTCGCTAGGGCTCTTATATAACTGTTGCGCTTCTTCAGCTTCTGATAATCTTAAGCATACACAGTGACAAATCTACATCAACTTTCCTGTCATTCCACGCAAAACTTTCATTGTTTTAAGAGAGCACTTCCGCTGTTTATCGAAAGGCATTATCATACCTTTTTAAGACATTTTCTATGGACTTCATGCTTATTACAGGACTGCTTCACAATTAATTACGTTAAATTACCGACGTCTCATTTCAGTCATACTTTGCTCGTTTTTCAGTGATAAAAACAATTTAGTAAAAGTCAAATCGTAGAGCTCAAATTCGGCACTATAAGGGACTTAGCAGTATAGCCCAAAATTTGACATGAACGATTAAACTTTGATCAAAGCTGGGTATCACTGTGTCTTTATGAGTCAATATGGCTGTATGCCTCGAAAAGTCGGTAATTTCTGTAATAATATCTGCATAAGGATGCACGAACACCATGGAATTAATCTACCGCATAAAAGAACAATGTTCAATTTTTAAGACATGTTCTATACATAATCTGGTATGTCGTTATTCATTTCTACTGTTCAACGAAGTTAAAAACAACGTAAGGACGCACTTTGTTACCGACAAATTGGTTACCTCCACAGGAAAACAGATGACGCTGGGAATCATGTACGGTTATCGATAAAAGATTTTGTTCACTGCGCTTGGCCGGCATCTGACAAATATCAGTACTACTGTCACGTCTTTTCATCTTTCACAGTCAGACAATATACTGATTTCTACCATCTGATGGAAGGACAGAAGAGTATATCGCTAGCACAAATGCGAGAAGAGAGTACAGCGCAATCTTAATGTCATACCGCCTACCTTCTGAACGAGAAACAACGAATCATGGGTATGAATAACGGAAAATTCAGACAATACTTTGCGGACGACATAAGCTAAAAAAAAAGTTACATACTTTCCACGTTTTGGAAGGATGGCCAAGATCCGGTGCAACAGCATCGCTCAAAAGTTTTCATTTGTGTCTACATCCCTGTGAATAGAGGACGATAAAAGTTATAATTATAAACACGCCTGTTATCGCCATAGTGCGTTTCCTTGTCGAGGTTACTAACTGTCGGCGAGGAAACGATTGGGTACGCTGTTTTCAACGAATGGGCTGCAGACCATGAAGAAAGAAACTGAATATAAATTTAGCAACTGGTTCGAGATCGAGAACAATTTAGATTAATCTCGTGTCATTTTACATTAGTACGTCATTAGCTGGTAGCATCATCTTTATCTTTCATGACCGCTTCTCTTTTCGGGTCGCGGACAGTTGTTAGCATTTACACTTTATTCATTTCTGCGTAGTAATGAATATTGAATACAAAATTAACTAACTAACTAAATATTATATTAGAAAAGCACATGGAACACTGTCGATAAGTGCAGTACATTGCGTGAATGCTGTTTGCTGATCTGACAGGCCATATTAGCATTAAGTTTAGAAGCATCAGATGAGAGTACCGACATTAAACTTAAATCTAACTTCTGTTACAACAAAATCTATCTTAAAAATATTGAGATAATTGGAAAATGAGCATTCCAAAAAAGTAACATAACAATGAGATTCTACACAGCCTGCTGAGAACAAAAAAAATGCATTTGTTAAAACAAACACTGCTTACCATTCGGCAGACTGTTCCCCGAGAGCATCTGGAAAGGCGACGAGTGAGAACTCAAAATGGGCGATGAGCAAGGAAACATCATCTGGGTATGATTAGGGTCTTCAAAACAGTTCTGCGATGCTCCTTTTTCTAAAATCAACAACCTTTCTTCGGTCCCAGCTGCAACGTTCAATATTACTGAATTAATCACATCGTCAATCGTAGATTCGCGACTTAAATTAATCGCATCGTTTTCCGCCGTTACAGCAGAAGATATCTGACTAGAATTTACATGAACACTGGCACTACTGTCTAGGAGGCAAGTATCGACATTTTTGCGTATGGCAGCTTCAATGGTTAAAGTTTTCAGTTGCTGTTTCCTTGGCCTGCTAGTTCGTCTTTTCTTCTTGGGCGGTGATTCGTTGTTAAGGGGAGCAGCCGGAGGGCCCAACTGCAGTTTAACGCTAGACGGTACAACGGTTGTAGACGTAGGCGTTCCCGGAGACAAAGAAGATGTTTCGGTTGGTGAATTTTGCAAAAGAAGGCCTACCAATAACGGGCTACTACTCACGCTAACAGCGGTAGTGTTCAGCGGTAGGGAGAACGTGCCACTTTTGGACGAATTCTGACTCAGCGGCACATCTACTTTACTGGAAACAA